GGAGCTGGTGCCTCGCCCCGTCTGGGCCCACTCCCCCCTCCCTTCTGCTGCTTGGGGTCTGGTCAGCAGCAGGGGGTGGGGGGGAGCAGGCCCAATGCGGGGGAGGACAGGGCCTGAGGGTGGGAAGAAGCCAGGCCGCCACGGTGGGGGGTGGGGAGCAGCAGGCCCAGGCCGACCTGGCGGTGGCAGGGGAATGGGAGGAGCAGGCTGGGGGCTGACGTGGTGGAGGGTGGGATGAGTAGGCCCAGGCCCAATGTGGAGAAGTCAGGCCGCCATGGTGGGGGGAGCAGCGGACCCAGGCCAACGCGGTGGCGGGGGGGACAGGAGGAGTGGGCTCAGAGCTGACGCGGGCAAGAGGGGTGGGGGAGGAGTGGGACCGGGCCTGAGGGGAGCGGAGGCCTGCTCCTCCCCTTCCCCTGCTGTTGCCATGTTGGCCCAGGCACACTGCTCCCCCCCACTACCCTGGCAGGCCGGCTTCTCCCCCGCTCAGGCCCAGTCCCACTCCCCCTTAAGCCCCCGCTCTCCCTCACATTGGCCCCAAGCTTGCTTCTCCTGTTCCCCCGCCACCACCAGGTTGACCTGGGCCCACTGCTCCCCCTGCCGCGGTGGCCCAGCTTCTCCTCACCCATGGGCCCAGTCCTCCCCTGCATTAGGCCCGGGCCCACTCCTCTCCTCCCTCCACTGCCGCTGCTGTGGTGGCACACCCACTATTCACCCCACTGCCATCGCATCATCCCACGTTGGGCCCTGCAGGCGGCAGAAACAACAATAGGAGAGAGGGGTGGGTTGAGGCCAGCACTAGTGGCCTTGCCCACCCCCCACAGCATCCCGACCCCACTCCCCACTGTTTGTCAGCCAATCAGAGTGTGAATAAAGCATTACAGACAGACAGACAGACGTAGGCTTGTATAATATTAGACTGTACTGATCCCAAGAGTGATCCTTGAACTCTACTGTTAATCTCCCATTGTCCTAATATTTCTCCTTTCAACACTACTCATTTTTTCTTCTTTAGCCAGTTCTTTACCTATCTTAAAATTGTCATACTGATCTGCATCTTAACTAATTACTTCACAAGTGGCACTGTATCAAATGCTTGCCTGAATACCAGGTAAATTAGCTGTTTTGCGTATCCTTTGCCTGGACCAGTGGTTCTCAACCTCCGGCCCGTGGGACAGATCTGTACCACAGATCCATGTCACCTGGTCTGCAGGGTTCCTCACAGGTCCAGAAATTTGGTGGTGTGTGAGCAGTGGCAATTACCACTGCCAGTACTTATCGGCCACCAAATTTCTAAACCCTGTGGGCCAGACAACCTGGCATGCTCTGGTGTGAGGCCCAACCTGGCAAACAGGGCCAGGGCCATGCACCACGCTGGCCCTGAATGTGGGACTGGGCCCCAGCCCCGGCTGTGGCCCCACCTGATGGATCAGGCCCCAGCCCTGTGCACTCATCCAGCCTGCAGGGCTAAAAGGTTGAGCACCACTGGTCTAAACAATCAAATACAGAGGACAGGTTAGTCTGGCATGACCTATCTTTGGAAACCCAGGATACATTTTATCCCATTTTTCATTTAACATTCTGCTTTAACTATTCCTTCCTTCAACATTTGTTCTAAAACTTTGTGTACTGTGATCTAGCTCATGAACATGTGCCCCTCGCGGCTGCGGGGGCATGGCAGCAGCGGGAGCATGGTGGCAGAAGTGGCGGGAGCACAGCGGCAGTAAGCGGGGGAGCTCCCGCAGACGCCGCCAGCACTGTCAGTGGTGGAGGGTGGAGAGCACCGACCAGGGGTCGGTAACTACCCACAGGTGCCGCTGGCAGCATCGGCAGTGGCCAGCGGGGATCGCTGACTGTCCACAGACACCACTAGCAGTGTTGGCGGCAGGGTGGCAAGTGGCAACTGTCCGCAGACACCGCCAACGCTGTCAGCAGCGCCTTTTTGTAGGGGGTGCACTGCCACACTCAGCAGTGCACGTGCACCCGTGTGCACCCCCTACACGTCACCCCTGGTCTAGCTAATGGGTCTTTAGTTACCTGGATCACTTTTTTCTCCCTTCTACAATACAGATACTTTATTTGCTATTGTACAGCTGTATATTACCATCTCCCACCACAACTTGATATATTTATTAAGGATTCTTACAATTTTACATGCTAGTTTTATTAGAATTTGGGGATGGAGATTATTTGGTTCCCCTAGCTTTAGTTGCATCTAAAATAGCATCGCCTCTTGTTGGTTCAGTGGCTATTTGGCAAAGAAAACTGTTGGGTGTTGCATTTGTACCGTAATGGTTAGGGCACTCCCTGGAGTGAAAAAGATCGGATTAGAGTTGTTTCTACACTTTATATTTAATATACATTGTTTCTTCGTTGGGGTGAGAACTGGATCAGCGTACCCCGTTCCCACTGAGTTCTCTAACCAATATGAAACCAGAGGCATGATTATTCGCTTTGATTTGATTAATATTTAAGTAGTCGATGCAAAATACAATAGCTACAAAAAGAGAGCTGTCCCTGAGAATACATTCTAGCCTAAAAATCAAGGCACTGTCCTGGAAGGTAGGAGGCCTGTGGGTACAAATCCTGTTGTAGAAAGGCAAATTTGAATTCAGGACTCCCACATCTCTGGTAAGTGCTCTAGCCAGTGAGGTATTATGTAAATTGGGGGCTCATCCTCCCGCTCGGTATATTTTCCGTGAGGTGTGAGTCTGAGCATGTCTATTAGAGCAGGCCCTGGCAAGGAGGTGCAGCGGGTTGGTGAATTCAGATGGGGCTTAAGCTTAAGATAGGTATTGGGCAGATCAGTGCTGCCAAGTGTTGCTTTGTTGTGCACATGTGCAGCAGCAGAAGTTTAGGTCACAAAATGTCACTAGCAGAAACTTAGACACCAAGAGTGTAGATATCTCTCCTGTCTAACCAGTGGCCTGCAGGGGTTAAGTTGCAGCCCCTGAGCCAGTAGCATAACTAGGGTAGGTGAGCAGGGCACCAGCTCAGGCACTGACTAGGGGGCACTAGAATCGCCCCCTAGGAGGGTTTGCCACAGCACGGGCAGCCTTGCACTGCTCCTGCCCAGTCATAAGAGCTGGACACAGCAGTGCAGCACCTAGCAGTATATCTGGCAGGGGGCAAGTGGAGTGAACAGAATGGTGCTTCTCCACCTCGCTCTGGGAAGCCTTTGCCCAGGGCAGGCACAGCCCTGTACCTGATATGCATGCATGGGGTGGGAGGGAGAGAGTAAATGGGGAACCAGCATCAGCTCAGTGGGAACCTGGCCATGGGGTTGCTACTGCCTGAGCAGAGCTGATGCTGCTACAGCAATAGCAGCAGCCTGGGAAAGTAAGCCTTCTCCTCCACTCACCCACATCCCATTCCCTGCCCCTGCCCCCCTACAATGGTCAGCATTCCCCCTTGCAGCCCTACCACCCCAGGCACTCGCTGAGTTTGCTACACCTCTGACCCCAGTGCACCTATATCCATTCTTCATGATCTCCCGGAGTCCTCCCAGTCTCTTGTAGCTGAGGAAAACAAATTTGCTTTGCAGTGTGCGCTGAAGAGCAATAACGTAGGATTGTCTTGGTCCATGAAAGATGGTGAGTTAAAAGGTTGGCACTGTATGTTGGGTCAGCTCAGGGACCATAGGCCATGTTGCCTGACCAATAGCATGGTGGTATGTCGCAGGCAGATGTTTTCTTGCAGGGAAGTAGGTCCCAGGCCATTTAAGCCTTTGTAAGTGAAAAGCTTAAAATCCCACTCTGTATCTAGTTGATAAAGGCAGAGCCAAAAATACTAGTACCGTGCTTCTCCAAAAATACACTGGGCAATAAACAGGCTGCTAGATTGGCCCCTGCTTTCATGGTCCACCTCTGCATTTCTAGATTGGTTTACAATCACTTAATCTGTAGGTGATGAAGGCATGGGTCCAAGACCCACCTTGGAGGGAGGTTCATCCAACGTCCTGAACAAGTGAATGGCAAAGCCAGGTGGGAGACAACTGCTCCTTGCAATTCTGGGAGCAGCTGGGAGTGGAGTCCACATGAACTCATCCATTGTTGCCTGTGCCTCTAATGAGGGCCAAACCTGCTGGGTTCTGGCTTCTTATTGTGGTTTCCAAACCATCACACCCATCTTCTGCTTTCCGGCCCTGCCTCAGTCAGATTCAGCCAGAGCCTTGGAGGCAGTATAAATTCTGCTTTTGGGGGGTCCGGGGAGAGCAGTGTGAGAGCTTCATTGCATGGGAAGAGGAGCAGTAGCCTTTGCTACCAGCAGCACAGGGAAAGGGGGCTGCTGCGGTTGTCCGTGCACTGGACGTAGAGAGCCATCCTAGAGCCGCAGTTTTCAACCTTTTTTATACCAGGACTCATTGATATCCAATCCCCCTGGATCCTGTCCTGCTGCCCCCAGGGCAGGGGTCGGTATGTGGCATGCTGCCGTTTCCTGTCTTTTTTGCTCCTTTAAAGGAGAATCCTTTTATAAAATGTGTTCTCAACCTTTTCATGCTGAGACCTGCTTTTGGGTCACGACTTACGGGTAGGAAGGCCACCACCATAGAGGACAGTCCAGTTTTCCGCTGCTCTTGATAGGAAACCCGACCCCTTTATGTCCTCTGTTTTGCTCTTCAAGAGAAAAATAGAGGCCATAAAGCTGTTGGGTTTCCTATCAAGAGAGGACCGAGGACAACCGGAGTGTCCTCTATGGTGGCCAACCTACGCACAGGCTGAGAAACACTGTCTGAGAGAAGCAGGGCTGCAAGGGACCTCTGCCTGGGGCCGGGAAGGGCTTAAGTGCTGTGTTGCAGCCAGACTTGCTGCGGGGGGGGGGCTGGCTCGGCCACG